CCGCCGCGTGAAGTGCCGCCGAGAGCATCCAGCTGGTGAACTCCTCCGTGCTGCTGACGGGCAGGCTCCCCGCCGAGGCGAGCAAGGCTGCGGCACTTGTCGGCGACGGGGGCGACTCGTACCTTGGATTTCGGCGAGGGTTGTCCCTGGTGCGGCGGCTGGTGAGTTCCGCCGGCTTGTCGAAGCGGGCGAGCCGCCGNCACCAAGCAGGAAGTCCTCCGCCTCTTAGCGCGCAGCGTGGGCCACTTCCGCGCGCTCGAACAGCAACTCTCGCACCGCCCTTGCCTCTAGCCCTTCCGCCGCGTGAAGTGCCGCCGAGAGCATCCAGCTGGTGAACTCCTCCGTGCTGCTGACGGGCAGGCTCCCCGCCGAGGCGAGCAAGGCTGCGGCACTTGTCGGCGACGGGGGCGACTCGTACCTTGGATTTCGGCGAGGGTTGTCCCTGGTGCGGCGGCTGGTGAGTTCCGCCGGCTTGTCGAAGCGGGCGAGCCGCCGGGCCTCTGGCCCACAGANTCCTCCGTGCTGCTGACGGGCAGGCTCCCCGCCGAGGCGAGCAAGGCTGCGGCACTTGTCGGCGACGGGGGCGACTCGTACCTTGGATTTCGGCGAGGGTTGTCCCTGGTGCGGCGGCTGGTGAGTTCCGCCGGCTTGTCGAAGCGGGCGAGCCGCCGGACCTCTGGCTGGCCCGCGGAGCGCCGGGAGATCCGTCTCGCTGTCGCTGTCGCTGTCGCTGCCGCTGCTGCTGCTGCTGCTGCTGCCGCTGTTGCTGCTGCGGCGGTCGTCCTCGCCGCCGCCCACATCGGCCGTGCCGGTCGACGTGGTAGATGGGGCGACGCTCGCGCTCTCCCTGCTCGAGGGGGCGCCATCGCCAGCGTCGCCCGCGCCCGACCCCTGGGGCGCGGGCGGCCCCGCGGGCCCCGGGGCTCCCGTCGTGCCAAGGTTGAAACCTGGCCCTCCATCCACAGGTTCTCCCTTTGTCCCCCCTCCACCTTGGCCCGACGCGCCCTCCCCAACCTCGTCCTCCTCAGTCGCGAATTCCTCTTCCTCCTCTGCGATGGGAGGCAGCGATGCTCGGGTCGACGTCTTGTTGGGGATGGGCTTGGAAAGCCCCATTCGCCGTCGAGCACCCCAGGCACTCCCGGAGCTCGCCCACCAGCGTCATCCCCTGCTGCTTCGCCGTGGGCCTCAGCAGCACCTCGTGGGAGTGGCCGCGCGCAGCGGAAATCGTTGATGTCAATGGGGGTGCTGGACGCTTTCGCGTTGCCAGGAGCAATTGCGGCATAGGCATATTCGGTGTGTGTGCGGAAACCGTTTTGGACGTACAGGTTACAGCATCGGGGGAAGTACACCGACTTCCCCTCCTCTTTCTCCAACTCCAACTCGGGTTTGTCTAGGCTTTTGGTTTTGAACCCGTCGTCGAAGAGGGACGTCAGAGATACTAGGTTATAGTCTAATCGGGGAACGTGTGCAACCCGTTTCAAGATCAGGTCTGTTGTCCCGTCGCGCGAGCTAAGGGTGACCGTTACTTCGCCGTACCCTATAATGGGGAAGGTTTCTCCGGCGGTGACGCGCACACGTCGACCACACTCCTGAGATCGGACGAACCCATCTGAGTTCGCGAACATGTGGGTGGTAGCGCCGGTATCGGCAACATACCTACCCCGCCTAGCCTGCTCTACACCCCCTCGACCAACGACTTTGTGCTACTCGCCTTAGATGCCACCGACCACCAGCGCCTCTTCTGCCACGTCCAGTGCTGTGGCGTCCNGCCTCAGCAGCACCTCGTGGGAGTGGCCGCGCGCAGCGGAAATCGTTGATGTCAATGGGGGTGCTGGACGCTTTCGCGTTGCCAGGAGCAATTGCGGCATAGGCATATTCGGTGTGTGTGCGGAAACCGTTTTGGACGTACAGGTTACAGCATCGGGGGAAGTACACCGACTTCCCCTCCTCTTTCTCCAACTCCAACTCGGGTTTGTCTAGGCTTTTGGTTTTGAACCCGTCGTCGAAGAGGGACGTCAGAGATACTAGGTTATAGTCTAATCGGGGAACGTGTGCAACCCGTTTCAAGATCAGGTCTGTTGTCCCGTCGCGCGAGCTAAGGGTGACCGTTACTTCGCCGTACCCTATAATGGGGAAGGTTTCTCCGGCGGTGACGCGCACACGNATGCGGCGGCCGTCGTTGCCGCGGCCCGGTGCTCCTCTTCCACCGCTACCGTCGCTCGCGAGGAGAGCGTGCTCCGCCCTCTGCTGGCCCTTCGAGGCCTTCATCCCCTCCGGAAGGCTCGCGTGCACCGTGCTCACGATTCTGACGATCTCGGCCCTATCCAGCGCCGTTGCTGTCTCCAATAGGGACTTCGCTTGTTGGTACAGGTGCATGCGTTGTTGCCGATCAATTGGCCGTCCAGTCCTACAGTCTTGGCGCTTGGATAAGCGACTTTCTCCACGAGTCAAACCCATGGCCGCGACTCTCCCCTTCGAGACGCGAGGCATTGACTGTTACTCTCTTCATGTGGCTACTGCTGTAGCCGTCGAGGAATTCTCCATTTCCTCGAGTCACGGGTATCTCACCTGGGGGTTTAACCCCCTCGCTTCCCCGTAGTCCGGTCCTATGCCCGGGCCCACTCCGGCTGGTCTCGCAGGATTCGCTCCCGATCTGCTGGCCTAGCCGCCTTCCAGCAGCTGCCGTGGTCCTTGCCCACCATCTCTCGCTTGCTGCTGGAGAAATCCCGCGCCACCGCCGAGCGGCTGCATGGGCTCTTCTTGCTGGCCTTCGGTGGCGGCAACCCAACCGCCACTACTGGCTGCATCCGCCACGACCCTGCCAGGCTCCTTCTTCTTTACCGACTCCTCCACCAAGGCCGCCAATGGCGAAACCTGCAGTTGCAAACTTGCAATCTCCGCATCGCTTCCCGCCTGCACCGGCGGGCGGATCTGTTTCCCGCTCGCAGCAGTGCGCTCTTCGTCTCCAGCAGAGCTCATCCCAATGTGGCTTCCCTCGAGGGGCAAAAATCTCAAGAGTGTTTGCGGCCTACGCCGCTTATTTATCGGGTGAGACTGTTTTGGTTATGTATAAACTTCACGAGAGGTAGACGACCGTCCTTCACACGGACGAAAGAGGGAGTGCTCAAAGAGCGGCTCCCACAGCAAGGAGGGNAAACACTCGGTACTTTCTGCCTTGTTCTGTCGGTTGCTCCTCATAACCGATTTTGAACGTGTCCCACCGGGCGCCTTTGGGCATCAGCGGCTTGTATGTGTACCAAACCCCCACGCCTTCCCTATCCCCCGCCTTCTGTCAGATGTTGAAGGAGACCCTTGTCGCCTTCCACCCTTCTCCTGCACAAGCGGTGCCAGAGGAGGCCCACGCACCGCTGCCGCGCCACGCGTCACTTCAGCACAGGTCCTCCATGGCAGACCTTCTGGATCGCGTGGTGAAATCGCTACTGCGCTCATCGACCGTGGGGGGACAGGTGCGGTGTAGGGGCTACATGCACATACCTGTGCACCTGGCTCCTTGGTGGTTGGAGACCACGCATTCCTTTACGGATACCGGAGGAGGCCCGCTGCAGTGGTCAAACTGATTTCTTTGTTGAACGTTTTGCTCTTCCGCGGCCGAGCATGGGATTCATATTGTTTCATGAACGTATTTGCACCCCCAGACCTTTTTGTGTGGGTAACGGCTGAAGCGCCGCGAAGCTGCCATCCAAGGCTCACAGAACTGCACAATGGCCGAATGAACCACCAAGAACCCCCTTCCCGACGACCTCAAGAAACACCCCCGCTACATGATACCCCGACCCGCTTGCTTCTTCTTCTATCTTTCGTCGGCAGGGGAACAGTGTCAGCGGGTACTACGCCACTCAGGGAGACGACCCGCGCCGTAACGTCCTCTCCCTCGGATGCCGAGTAGCGGGACCGCAGGCGACGAGCGAGCTGCTGAGTGTGCAAGGGGTAGCATGCACGTTTCCCAACACTACGGTCAACGTCATCCGATCGCCTCCGTGGGAGCTCCTGCTCTCCAGAATTGGGGATGACTTGATGTTTGCTCTCCTAAGACAGCACACCGTGCTGCAGCGGCTGCCTAACCGCTGCTACATGCAGGCAAGCCCTCGACAGTCAGCACCAACGATGATCAATGAAGGGTGGTATTGAAGCAAAAGCCGAAGCCATGTTTTGGTCGGTGTGCCCAAAGATTGTGGTACATGTTCGCGTGGGGCCTTATCTAGGGGAGTTTCAGGGCACAAGCGTGTCCAGGCCGTGTGGGCTTCCGATTTCAAAGTTGCCCTCCCTGTTCGTTGTCTAGCGCTCCACAAGCTTCGTTTCCGTTACCGCACCTCGAGCGCGCTGCCTGCTGAACGAAGGCCTAATCCCGGGTCGAAGTCAATGGTCCGTTCTCCCTGACCCCCCACCGAAGTCATCCTTCCGGGTTGGCATTGTCGGTCTCAGACGCCGTTTCCTGACGGCGTCCCCCTTTCCCATCCCCGTCCCCGACTCCTGCCTAGCAGCTCGTGGGACGTCCGGTGCCGGACCTGTGTCGCCATCTAGGCCTCACCTCCGGCACGCTGTTGTCCGCATCTTCGGCAGCGGCGCCCGTTGCTGGTGGTGTTGGTGGTTCTGCTGGTGCCGCTTCTGGTGGTGGTGGTGGCGGTGGTGCTAGAACTGTCGGCGCGAGGGAGAGAGCTGTTCGCCCTTCCGAGAACGCAGCGTCCAGCAAGAAAGGCAACGGCACACAGAGGCCAGCATCCAGGAGCGCCCCTCCGGGACGTGCGTCGTCGTCCACCCCCCCTGCACAGGCTACGCCCATCGCTTCCATCGCTGCTGGCAAGTACGGCGCGAGCTTGGGGGTAGGCGGTGGGATACCGGCGAGGAAAGGCCCGCCAGTTTCGCGGCCCGTGTTGCTGCTGCCTCGGCGGCGCATCTTCTACTCAAGCACGTTTGTGAGGTTCGTGATCCAAGGGGGCGGGGGGGTTGCGGGTGGGCAAGGCGCTGTTGTTTTTTATTCATGTCAGATTCTTTTCTTTTCACTTGAGCGGACTGCCATTCGGTTGTGACTGCTGCAAGCACGACCGTGTCGGGACCTTATTTCTCTACACGACTGCGGTGGCCGCATTAGCGCCATGGCGAGGGTGGGTCGATTTCCTGATATGGCTGTGGGTCATTCCCCCCTCGTGTTTGGCCCTCGCCGCTCCCCCCACGCCTCTGTTTGCATTATTATTGTCAGTATTCCCATTTTTTGTCGGCCCCACGCAGGTGCTGCAAGTGATGTCAGTCGGCATGGTCTGCGCCTCTTCTCACACGCACATTACTTCGCTCAGAGCTCAAACGCCCAGCCCTTGCTGACATCCCGTGTCTTGTTCTTTTTTCTTTCAGAAAAGCTGGTTTTCCGCGCGGACACGTCCTCAATCCCTGTGGCCAGGCACCGGCGGCGGCCGGCGGGGAGCAGGCTGGCCCGCCGCCCGCCGCCTCGCACCAAGGAAGTACCGGCAACCGCGCTACGAAGGGAAAGACCTCTGGCTCTCCCGTCGAAGCTCCCGCTACCATCAGCAGGGTCGCCCACGACTTGGTACGCGACGCGTTTGCTAGCAGCCTGGACGGTGAGGGCCTGGGCCGGCAGCAGCAGCCCCCAGGCGACGCGGCCCACGGTAAGGGCAGACCGGGGGTGCTCCAGCGCGCCGGGTCGGGAGTGATGCCAAAAGCGACGGGGGCCCCGGGAAATGTAGCTGTAGAGGGTGGGGGGGCGCGCCGCAGGCTTCCAAAGAGGCTGCGACGAGCCGTCCCGCTGTTCGAGGAAATGATTGGGAGAGCGCATCGTTGCAACATCGGGAGGCTGCTGGAGGCACACTGCCCTCTGCCGCAATCGGTGCGCGGAACGAAGGCGGGGAAACGACGAGCAGGCGAGGGGGAGCAACCGCTAGGTACTGCTGGAGGAAGAGAAAACGGGCAATAGACGATGTCGTTGCGAGTTCCATGCGCCGTGCCTCTTGTTGACGACAGCATCGGGCCACAATGTCCACACGTTTGGGCATAAAAATACCTCCGCAAGTCCTTCCCTGTATTGTAGTATGGATGCGGCGGTGTGACCTTTTACTATAGCGGTAGATCCATGCTGGCCTGACTCTCAAACCCCACGGCACACGCGAACGCCCGCAACGAAACAGGCCCCAAAAAGAGGGAGGGGGGGTTTCAAGCCGCGGCGCCTCCGCCCAGTCCGTCCGACGTTTCTACCTTGCACGAGGAGGTTGGGGAGCAAGCGGAAGACATTTCAGCGGCGGGTTTGTGGAGGCAGGAGGTCACGGCGGGCGGGGATGAAGATGCTGGTTGGGAAGGAGGGGGAGGAGACAACAGCAACAGGAGCAGCAACAGCAGCAGCGACGACAGCGAGGATGAAAATAAGGAGCCGGAGGAGAGCGACGAAGAAGACGACATGATGGACACCGGATCGACCGTGAAGGAAGTGCGGATGAAAGACAACGACTCGTTTACCGTACGCACTCATAGTGGCGTTAGCGGGATATCGTGCGCCGACGGCATGCAGGGAGAGGAGGAGGAGGAGGGCATCGGAAGCGTCCTCAGCAGCGACAGGGCGAGTGCCGAACGAGCGGAGGAGCCACAGAGGCTCTTTCGTGGAGGGTGCGCGGATGCCTCCCCGTGGGGATCTGTATCTCGGGGAACGGTAAGAGAGCTGCCTTCGCTCCTCGCAGAGCTGCAACGGCGCCTCAAATTGCGCTGATTTGTTTTTGGAGTAGCTTTTCCTGTTGCAGCACGTGCGAGGTGGTTTTCGCCGCTTGCTCCTTTCTCGGTGCTCGATCTACTCATCGGGTTATCGCAAGCAGCAATGCCTTCGAGGTTGGAGGTCTACCAAGTCGTCCCAATTTGTGTTTGCACCTCACCAACGCGAGTCCAGTCCCAGAAGACGAAGGGTATTATCGACGGCGTAGACTTCGTTCCCGAAGTTTTCACCTCGTGTTTTTCGGTTGGGGGATTGAGCCCTTCGGGGCATGTCCCAACTCGTTTTCGACGCTTGTGCTCGTGGCGTTTGATTGCACAGCGTGCTTGACCGTCTTGCCTTTGATTGGCCGTGCTTGCTGGGTAAGCCGCCGGTTGTCTGCCCGTGGCCTGCTGAGAGTCCTCCCGAGACCTCTGTTGAGAAGGTTTCACTTCCCCGAGCGTGTGGGCTCAATTTCGTGACGGCGAGTTTTGCACCAAAAGAGGCAATTGCGCACGGGCCTCTTGACGCAACCTCCCCACCAACAATCGCTTCGAGCGTTCTCACTCCAGTACAGCAGTGATGGGGTCCTCGCATCTCTTCCGACGCGGTCGGAAAACGTGGTCCATCGTTTCTTCCGAGAATAACCAAGCCTTTGGGGCTCGTGATTCTTGGGTACGTAGGTTCACAAATGCCTGCCACTGTCGTCCGTCTTGCCCAGCACGAGCCAGGCGGCGGCACGAGCGGTTCGAGCAGCGGCGGGGACGACAGCGGGAATATTTCGGATGCTACCCTGCTTGACGAAGCCCCGACGGCTAACGGTGAGGGGAAACGTAGCGATATTCCCGACGAAACGCGCGTTGCTTCTCCTTCGTGGCACGTTTTTGTTGCACCAATGAGTACGAAGGAAGTAACCGACGTTCGTCCTGTGTGCTGCCTTTGATGTGTAGAACCTAATGCAAGATGCATGGGCTTTGTGGTTTTGAAGGATATGGCATCGTTCGTATGAGCGCGGCGGCGGCAACAGATTGGTTGCCTTGATGCGAGCTGCTCTCTCTCTCCGACCGTCTCGCGTCTCTTGCTTTTTTTTTACAAGGAAAACTTTGGCGTGTCCGCGTCGACTCTCCAAGTTCCCAGAGTGATGGCTGGGGTCAATCAGCACAACGATGTCCAGCATGCATTACCTCTCTATTTCCTTTGTTTGCCATGTAGGTGTAAGCGCGCCTCCCGAAGGGGTGCAGGGCAGTCCCCCTCGCCCCCCCCCCGACCAACCCACGTTCAGCGTGGACCCCAACATGACGTTCATCGAGATGGCTACCGAGCACCGGCGGGTG